GAAACGAACTGACTAAAGAAATTAAGCATTGATTCCAAAGTACTGCTCATCAACATGCCAACTAGTCGTGAGTTTGCAATATACCTGATAGCTGTTAACACTAATAGAAACTGTCGTAAACAGTAGTGAATACGGATTTATGAAAAAGGAAATGTTCTGTATGTAAAAGAGGTGAATGGCAAATGCGATCCTTTTGTAAATGTTATAAACTTAAACAGATAAACTTACATTAACAATCAGTTAACCCGGACTGACAGTACTGTGAAGCAAGGCCTCTGCAATAAACATCCATTCATCACTTCATTAATCCCGAGCTAAAGAACACAGCACTTACGAGTTCTTGAACTTCATGATAATGAACTAGTAAAATAAATAAATTAAACTCATAAACGTGCTCCACAGTATATTCGTGATCAGCTGTGCGTGACAAGCGAACTGTACTATTTTGATTATGATTAAAAAAGTAATTTTTGGCAGTTCTAAAATATAACCGTCTCGAGGGAAGAAGACACTTCTCTGCCGCGCGCGGGCAAACATTTTCTTCTGCTTTCTTCAGAGAAAAGGAAATGTGTGCCTTTTAGCTTTTTTGAACTCCGTTACATCGGACCTGAGGGCAATCTTAGGGCTCAGGTCTTCACCTCGATCATAGCCCCTTGAAATTCGTTTTAAGATTTTCAGCTTCAGCTTTGCCAAATGTGACACTTCAATAATTTTCTTTGTTTCTTTTTAGCAACGAAGGCATTGACTTATGATCTTCTCCCTAAAGGGAGTGACTTTTCTGTGGAATGCTTACAATAGTATTGTGGCTAGTGAGTTTTTTCCTATTAGGAATGTAAGCATTCATTTATTCATTTTGCGGCTACAGCGCAATTGACGTCAAAATGAGCGAGCTTTGGGGAAAACTACTCACGTTGAACAAATCACCAGGAGTATTACTTCAATTGTTCAACAGTGAAAATTTATTTAGAATCCGCTCCACGGCGCTGGCCGGGTATTGGATCAGGCGGTATTAGATAAAGAGGCGACATTGACGGGAAATCAAAGTCATAGTGCTAAGGGTCTGTCATTTACAATAAATGATCTCTAAAAAAGGAAGTTACAAAAAAACTTCTTAAGACAATTAAGTAGACAATTAAAGATAGTTAACGTTGATTTCAACTACGGTTCTCGCGTCCCCCATTTCTAATTGAGATGCATTTGCGCAATCATTCTCCACTGAGAGTTGGGCACGTGAAAAGATGCAAAAGACTGAAAACTTGATTTTTTTTCTGTGAGCTCCCCTTTTGAAAAGTGATGAAGAAGACACGATTGTCAAATGCTGTGTTTAATTTCACACAACAGCTTCATATTTATGGGTCGCAATTGGTAAATTTTTGGGAGAATTTATTTACCTTGCGGTAGAAATCTGTCATCGGTGGACATTGCTAAGTGCGACCCCGAGTTTTCAAGTTAGAAAAAACTTTGAAAATCGGCAAAAACATCAAAGACGCCGTAGTGCTTGGGTGGGGCAGGCAGATTTTGGAAAACTCGAGCTAAATAATAGGAATCACAGCGGTAACTGTCAGCGCCTTGTGATGAACGTGATCCATTTGAAACACGATCAATTTAAAATAAACTCGGTCGAATTTTCAGACCTTCGCGAAGAGGCTTCCACTCGGCTATCCTTCGCCATTTCAAGTTTTTTTCGAAAACTCTCTACAGGCAAGGACTTCACTCGCTTATAAACCTTCGCTATTTTAAGGTTTTTACGGGAACTAGCTCTATTGAAGGCGAACCAGTTCCCGTCTACACAAGCAAACACTTCACAGGTTTGTTATTCTCCAAGCCAAATGTACTATTCGCATCCAAGAACTTTCTGGTCTTTTTTATCTGTCCCATCCTCCTGAAACTGGGAATGGAGGAAAAAGATCCTTCGACAAAGGTTTGGACGAAGAAGAGAAAAATGTTTTCTGGTATCTGGCGTTCTTAAGTTCTCAATGTGTCAAAGCAAAAACTATTAACTCC